AAATGAACTTCCAGAACCATGAGTCTTATGGACCTGATACCTTCTGAGGGTAGACTCTGTCTGTAGACAGTTTTACCCTAAGAAATTCCTTAAAGTGAAGAGATCAAAAAGGTTGCTTAATGAAAGATATATTTACCTTCATCTTATTGCATAATTTAAAACGCTGGATGATTAATTTGCTGATATAGAGATATTTATAAGCATATTCCTTGTTTGTCTAGGATGTCAATTCTTGAGATCATTACCTATGCTGAAGTGACAGCAGTGATGCCTTCTTTAGATCAGCCCAGCTTACAGATTCTTTGAAAGTCCAGCCCCTGACTCTGGCTGAGGAAGCAGGGAGGGAAAAGTGTATTCCCGGAGGTACATGGCAAGCTGTGGTCAATATCTCCTTCCAACATGGTGTCTTGGTCTCTGAGGCTGATGCAATGCTTTAATGATTCACAGTTCTTCTTGCCAAAACCACTTCCGTGCCGACAGGCACTGTTGCTATTCCCCAGTGATACCTTCTAGCTGCCAATGGTTTCTTGGCAAGAAGCCCAACAGCTGAATTGTACTGCTGAGCTACCAAAATATGGCTCTTATTAGCAGGTCCCAATTTCCCCAACAAAGTGAAAGCTGCTGTAACGTATTACAGCATCCCCTTCTGTGGTGTTCTGTCCCCAGTGCCCTGCCCAGTCGAGAACTGTGACTGAGGCCTCCTGCGTTTTTCCTATCTCTGAGTTCATGCCAACTCTCTGACGTTGCACATAGCATCTCCCTGAGATCCCTCTTGTCCCATTCCTGTCACACAGAGCAGGGGCACAGCTACATCACACTCAAGACTGTGTGTCCCCTGGGATTTTCCATTGTCTGTAAACATGCAACCTGAGGGTAACTTTGTAATGTGTAGATAATTGTTTCTCAAATTTGAGTTCTTGAAGATTTTTAAATATTGATGCTCTGAAATTCAGCTTTAGCCTTCACCCAAAATCATTGATCATCTTAGACTTCATCATGGAAAGAGTGAAGAGCCAAATGCTTTCATCCATGTCATTTCTGACATCTCTGCCCTTCAGGGATGTGACTGCATAGATTATCATTATGCCTAATCTGCATAATGATGCTACTACATGTTAGTCATGTAAATCAGATTTATTGTCAATCTATAAATATTCACTCACAAACATTGGTGAACATTCCAGATATGACTTGGAGAGACTATCTCCTTATTTGTTTTTTGTTTTATTTATTTTTTCACTTTGGTGTTTGTTTTTTTTTTTTTTTTAATTTTAGCCACATTAACTGACATTCTCATAGTATAAATAGTTATAATAGTATCTTCCTGTGCAAAATTGAACACAGACATGACAACCACAGTTGCAACTGAAAGCAAATCACTTCAGTAACTAGTGTAAAGGGTGTTACAAAGAAAATTGAAATTGTGCAAGTTTTTCCTTCCTCTGCTTTTATAAAACATATTACCTCATTGCTAATGAGTGAAACCCTTTCTTATCTTCTTGTCTCAAATGAATGCAACAGTGAAAGGGAAGCTTAGCATAACTAGCTCCATTTTGCTTCTGATCTCAGATTAAAAGCTCCTGCTTATTAACTATTATTGCTTTATAGTACAGCTTGAAGTCAGAAAGACTGATGCCTCCCAGTTTGTTCCTTTTACTTAAGATTACCAAGAACAGAATCGTCAATGTTTGGAATAGAACTGAGATGCCAGAGATGAAACCATCAGCATATGGTAACCTAATCTTTGGCAAAGCAGACAAAAATATATAATGGGGAAAAGAATCTCTCTTCAATAAATGGTGCTGGGAAAACTGGATAGCTACATGCAGAAGATTGAATCAGAATCCCTACCTCTCACCTCTCACAAAAATTCAGTTAAGATGGATAACAGATTTAAACCTAAGGCATGAAACATTAAGAATCCTAGAAGATGATGTTGGGAAAACCCTAGCAGACATTAGTCTAGGCAAAGAATTTTTGAGGAAGACCCCCAAGGCAATCACCGTGCATCAAAAATAAACAAATGGGAACTGATCAAATTAAAAAGTTCTGCACAGCCAAGGAAACTATCATTAGAGCAAATAGACAACCCACAGAATTGGAGAAAATATTTGTTCCCTATATTTCTGATAAAGGTCGAATAACAAGAATCTATCTAGAACTTAAAAGAATTAACAAGAAAAAAATCAAACAACCCCATCAAGAAATAGGCAACAAAAAAGAACAGAAAGTTATCCAAAGAAGACAAAATAATGATCTGCAAACATATAAAAAAATTCTCAACATCTCTAATCATCAGAGAAATGCAAATCAAAATCACAATGAGATACCACCTAACCCCAGTGAGAATGGCCTGTAACAAGAAATCGCAAAACAGTAAATTCTAGTGAGGATGTGGAGAGACAGGAACACTCTTACACTGCTGGTGGGACTGCAAATTAGTGCAACCTTTGTGGAAAAGAATGTTGGGACACACCTCACCACTAGAAATAGAATCCACCATTTGCCAGATAGCATTGCTGGCACTAATCTTCCCGCATTCCACTATCCCGCGCGCGCGGATACCAACCCAAGTCCGTCAATTCTCAGGTGGATACATCAAATTTGGTATAGTCTCATCAGCATTACTCTAATTCTAACAAATGACAGCGAGCTAGCACCACTTCATGCAACCTGGTGCTTAAGCCCCTTATCCAGAAGTGACGGCGGCTAAGCACTTGGGTGGGCTCTATGTACGCCAATTGGTACTGAACTGATTAAAACTATGGTGCTGAAATGGTGGTAGTGCTCACAAGGGATTCGGGGGAGGAGACCCACATACTAGGGATGTGGCGAGCATTGTGGAGGGGAAGGGCATAACTCTAACCCTTCTTAGGGCGAGGCAAAGTTATAAAATATAACCAAAATGTCAAAGGAAAAAAAAAACAAGTTTTACTGGGTGTCGGGCAGGTGGGAGGGGGAGGAGGAGATGGGTGCATACCACCTGGAGGATGGACACGCTTGAAACTCTGACACGGGGGGGGGGGGGGGCGGGGGAGATGGATGGCAAAGGCAATATATGTGACCTTAACAATATTTGTACCCTCATAATATGATGAAATAAAAAGGAGAAAAAGAAAAAAATAAAGCTTCTGCTTAGCTCTGCACATAGGCTAAAAGGAAGGTGACAACCCTCCTTTTCCCAAAAGTAACCCCCAGGGTGGTATGGAAAAGTATCATATGAGTAACAATGATGTGCTAAAGAGTTGTATCCTGACTTTCTTCCTCCAAAGTTTACTGACCAAGAGCAAAGGAGTTTTCCAACCTCCTCAAACTCCACTGATGCACAAGAGTCTGCAGCTCCCCATTCCACTCATGACCCAACCAAACTCTTCCCGTGTCCTTAAAGTAAAAAGGAGCTTAATGTTTATACTAACTTAAGGTGGTTCTTGGTTCATTAGTTTTTTAGTTGGTTTTTTAGTTTTTTAGTTGGTTTTCTGGCTTTCTGAATAAAAGTCACTTTCCTTTGCCCAACACCTTGCATTATCGAGTTATAGGCTGTCTTGTAGTGAGTGGTATGAGCTTGAACTCAGTTACACTAAGTAATAAAGTTATTTCATAGGGCTAGCATAGTTCTGTAATATTTGTGTGTGTGTGTTCACACAAATACAAATTCTCAAGGTATATGAAATTCATATTTTAATAATGTTTTTACTTTTTGTTTGGTGTGGACTTTGTAAAGGAGATGGCTGACAGAAGGAATCTGGATGAAATTCTCCAGTGACATGTTGAAGAAATGTTTCCCGGATAGGGCAGGAAACAGAAGGAAGACAAAGAAAAGTGAAGAAGAAAGATAGTGGGTCATGTTAAAAATGCAGTCATTGGAGGGATTTAAAATAAGCTCTTCATCTCTGGGGATAGTGGATCCTCTTGGTAACAGTTCTGTTGCCCAGAAACATTTTCCAAATGATCTCTCTGGATTACTTCCTAGAAGAGATGTCCAGAACCAAAATTCATCTAGGCTTCTCAGCTACTGAATAGCTAATAATTGTCAGGATTTCTATGCTTGCTCTGTAGCATTAGAAACAGGTGTTAATACATCTGAGTATGTAGAGAGACCACTGTAATATCAGTGGTGTATGGTTAAGTTAAGTCATCCTGATGATGTCTGAAATCAGCTCTGTGGGGCACACTGTATGGTGGGCCAGGCTTCTGGGAATTTGAGATCAGAGCTTCCCCCATTAGGTTATGGAAACCCGCAATAACATGTGCTGTCATATTGCAGTGGAAATTGGTTGGACACTTCTGTTCCAACCCTAGGTGACAAAGCAAGTGGATGCCTGGATGTAAATTTGATATATCACGTTAGTTATTAATAATTTATTTTTCCTTGCATTTTTTCTTCTTATTCTTTGTATTATTTATTATGCATGATTTTTAAAATATGATTATCATGTATAATGTTTTACATCCTTTAGGAATTTTCTTCCTTTTGATGTTTGGACATTGCAGAGTGAACATTCTGTTATTTAATCTAACACTATATAATGTGAAGAATGTCTAAAGAGTGCTTTTTCTTTAAGAATCAATGGCCTAAGCACAATAAATTTTTAAAAATGAAATACAGATATTAAAGTTATTTTTATTAATGTTATAAATGCTTAAATGCCAAAATTCAGAATTTTATGTAAAGATTAGAATTCTTTTACATGCTAGCCACTACTATTCTTCTTGATTTAATATTATTTAAATTCCTTTAAAACATTTCTTAGCTCAAAAGTCGCATAACATTGTTTCCAATTTTTTAGGTAGCCAACATACTCTGCCAACGAACCTGTGTGGAGTGAATGCCCACAGACCTGACACCCACTTCCACCCCCAAGGTAGGCCTGCTCAGCCACTATTGCCACTGCTGCTGGGGAACCTGGGCAGACAAAACACAGATGGCCTCCTGCCTCTGTGAATAGGAATCCCCACTGCCCTCATGCAATATTTCAGCAATGGCTTGGAGACCAGCACACTCATCCAACATGAACATCCCCAGCACAAGCTTGGACTGTGATACCACAGGGGCGTGGGGAGATGCAGACGAGTGTCACTGTCACAAATTCACTTTTGTCCACCACCTCCTGCCTGGTCCATCTTCCAGAGCAAAACTCAAACATGCGTTTAAGTGACCTCTCCCTGGGTAAAAATCAATAAGATGGAAAAGAAATTTGAAAATAACACAAATAAACCAAAAACATAGTTAGAGACATGAATGAAAAATTCATTAAAGACACAGATAATCTGAAAATAATATATTACAGAATCCCTGGATATGAAAGATTCCCTTAGGGAATTTCAATATACAGTGGAAAGTTTTAAAACAGACTACAACAAGCAAAAGAAAGAATTTCAGATCTCGAAGACAAGATTTTCAAATCAAACAAGTCAGTCAAAAATGAAGAAAACAAGAATCAAGAAGTATGAACAATCTCTCTAATAAATATGGGATTATGTAAAGCAAACAAATATAAGACTCAAATGGATACCTAGAGGCAAAAGCAAAAAGCAAAGAACATGTAAAACCTGTTTGATAGAATGTAAATTTCTATGGTATTGATAGAGATTTAGACATTCAGATACAAAAAGATCATCAAACACAAGGAGGATTCATGGCAAATAGGGCATTGCCAAGGCACATAGTCATCAGTCTGGCCAAAGTCAAACTGAGTAAAATCTAAAAATCCTAAGAGAGTTATCCCCCCCAAAAAAATAAAATGAAGAAAATAAAACACAGTACCAGAAAAGATGACTTTTAACAAAGGAAGATGACAAGAAGAAAGAAAGAGAATACCATAGAACAACCAGAATTCAAATAAGAACATGGTAGTAGTAGGTCTTTACCTATCAATGATATTGAATGGTAATGGAATAAACTCTCCAATTACAAGACATAAAGTGGTTGAAGGTATAAAAAACCAAGAGCGAACTGTATGTTATCTGCAAGAAACAGGTTCCACCTACATAGACACACATAGACTGAAAATAAAGGGATGGAAAAAGATATCGCATGCAAATGGAAATAAAAAAAGAACAGGAGTAGCTATACTTCTCTCAGATAAAATAGATTTCAAGACACAAATTGTAAAAAGAGACACAGAGGTCATTATATAATGATAAAGCGGTCAATTCAGCAAGAGCATATAACAATTTGAAATATGTATGCACCCAACACTGGAGTATCAGAGCTAAAGAAAGGTAGACCCTGAAACAATGATCATTAGGGATCTTAATAGTCCACTTTAAGTTTGCACAGACCATCAAGGCAGAACATCAACAATGAAACATTGAACTAAACCTGCACTATAGATCAAATGGACTTATATGCATTTACAGAACATTTCATCTAACAGCTACAGAATTCACATTGTTCTCCTCATCTCATGGATCATTTTCAAGGACAGACCATATGTTAGATCACAAGACAAATCTCAAAAAATTCCAAAAATTTGAAATCATACCAAGCATTTTTCCTGACTAGAATGGAATAAAACTAGAAATTAATAACAAGAGGAACATGGGAAAATATTCAAACACATGGAAATTAAACAATGTGATCCTGAATGACCAGTGTGTAAATGAAGAGATTAAGAAGGAAATTTTAAAATTTCTCAAAAGGAAATGAAAACAGAACATATGGGATACAGCCAAAGCAATAATGAGAGGAAAGTTCACAGCAATAAGTACCTACATTAAAAAAGTAGAAAAGCTTCAAATTAAGAAACTAATGATGTATCTCAAATAACTGGAAAGACAAGAGCAAACCAAACCCAAAATTCATAGAGTGAAAACAAATAATGAAGGTCAGAGCAGAAATAAATGAAGTCAAAAGAAAAATATACAAAAAAGATCAATGAAACAAAAATTTGTGTTTTTGAAAAGATAAACAAAATAGACACTCCTTTGGCCAGACTAAGAAAGAAGAGAGAAGACCCAAATAAATAAAGTAAGAGATGAAACAGGAGATATGCATACATCCTTTTTATGGCTGAGTAGTACTCTATGGGATACATATATTACATATTATTAACCACATGAATTGATGGGAGACCATTCTCCTAAGTGAAGTATTGCAAGAATGGAAAAACAAACACTACATGTACTCACTATAAAATTAGGAAAACTAACTGATGAGCATTGAAATGCACAGAGGAAAATAAAACTCAGTAGAAAGCAGCCCGTGGGGAGGGGGGGGAGGGGAACAAACCAACGTAATGGGTACTATGAACACTATTTGGGTTACAGGCATAACTTATAATCAGAACTCAAGCATTACAGAAATAACCCATGTAAAAAAAAGGATCTGTACTCCTGTCATATTTGAAATAAAAATATTATTTAAACAAAAAGAAAAAGAAATTATAATTGATACTGCAGAAATCCAAGAGATCATTGCAGACTACTATGAGCAACTATATTCCAATAAATTGGAAAAAATAGAATAAATGGACAAATTCCTAGACACAAAACACCAAAAAGAAATCCAAAACCTGAATAAACCAATAAAAATAGCAAGATATAAGCAGTAATAAAAAGTCTACCATCAAAGATATACAAGACATATCCAATAAAGATTTCATCCGTGACGATTTTAACCTTTTTACTCTTGACCTTGATTTTATAAAAAAACACTTTAATATTTTATTTGCCATCAGAAACCACCACCAATCTGTTCCATACTTTCCTCATGGCATTTTTTACCTCCTTATTCCTAAAAGTATAAATTAAAGGATTGAGCAAGGGAGTTAGGATGGTGTAAACTATTGTCACCATTTTGTCAGAAGAGAAAGTAGATGGAGGTCGTGAGTATACATACATGCATGGGACAAAGAACAAAACCACAACAGTAATGTGAGATCCACAGGTAGACAGAGCTTTTCTCCGACCTTTGGAACTGTATGTTCTCAGAGAGAACAAGATGACACCATAGGAGACAAGCAATAAAGAGAAGACTATGATGCAGAAAAACCCACTGTTGGCCACTGCAAAAAAGCCAAAGATGTGAGTGTCGGTGCAGGCAAGCTCCAGTAATGGATGCAAGTCACACAAGAAGTGATCAATGACATTGGGACCACAAAAGGGCAACGGAAAAATAAAGAGTATTTGTATCATGGAATGCAAGAAGCCCCCGGCCCAGGCTACCCCAATGAGAATGCCACAGAACCTGCGGTTCATGATGGAAGAGTAATGCAAAGGCTTGCAAATGGCCACATACCGATCATAGGCCATGGCTGTGAGGACAATCAACTCTGCCCCACTAAGGAAGTGATCAGCAAAAACCTGCATAATGCAGCCTTCAAAAGAGATGGTTTTCCTCTCATTGAGTGAATCCATGATCATCTTTGGCATGAAGAAGGAAGAGAAGCATACATCTAGGAAGGAGAGGAAAGCCAGGAAGAAGTACATGGGGGATCCCAGCAGTGCAGGGCTGCTGCTGATGGTTACTACAATTAACATGTTTATCATGACTATTGCAATATAGACAAACAAAAATACAACAAATAACATTTTCTGAACATTTGGATTCTGTGAAAGCCCCAGAAGGACAAATTCAGTAACAAAGCTTTGGTTGTGCATAATTTCCAAGGAAAAGGTGAAATCTCCAGCAATGGTGATCATATAGAATATGCAGTCATGATAATGAAAAAATTTTCTTCAGTTCAAGTTGTATATTGTAGTCATCAACAAGTTGGAGCATCCACATACAAAATTATCTGAGTGACTGGTGTTGTCACTGAGAACAAAATACTCAAATTTGTTGAAGGTAGTAGTGAAAGGTCAGGCAGAACTGAGGTGGAGATAGATTACTGAATGCCTTAAGAGAGCCATAGTTTCAATATTGGGGGAGGAAAGCATCCACACGTGGCAGAGAAGAGAAGTAGTTTTGATCTCAAGTGCCAGCTTTGATCATTTACTGGTGGCTTCCTGGAGTGAATTGTTGAGAAGCATCTGAAGTTACATATGAGTTATGAGAAAAGGATGTCTGTAATTTATTAGTGATGCCTGCTGCTGGGATGGAATGGGAGCAATGGTGACCAGCATGACATCCTAACCTGGAAACTCCACACCTACATATAGAAGAAGAAATAACATGCAGTTTAAAAGCCCCTTCAAAATCATGGCTACTCCTCAAATGTTTATTTGAAAATCAGAACTGTATTGGCTCATTAAATGAATTAATTCATTCTTCATAAAAGAGAATGATCCGTGGAAGAGTCCTAGCTGTAAACTTAATACATAACAAGTATGCACTCGGTATTGAGTTTATTTTCAGTCTTTCATTTTAAAATGAGAACAGAACTTAATAAAAATACTAATGCCCATATCAGAATATTGTCATAGTGACTAAGTGAAATAGGTGGGTTTCAGGACCCACTGCCTAGAAAACAGTCTGTGAAGTCGTATCGTCCTTGTTTGATTGGTGGGAAACTCATGCTTAACAAAGCTAACTCAGTTCAAGCAAACAACAGATGCTTGATCTGTGGTTTGAACACAGAATCTCTGGCCCCAGCACCCAGTTGATCAACAGGGAGAAGATTTTCTTTTTTCAACAAGAACTTCAGAGTAGGGTTGACCTTTCTACAAATACTTACAGATAAATTGGTGGCCTCCCCACAGGGAAGGAAGAGAAACAAGTTGCAATAAGACAGTTTCTTGAGGCTTTATTAATTGTTTGTCAATTATTTTCACAATGCAGTCAGGTCTGATCAGCTATAACTACTAAGGATACACATGTTTCAAATGTATTTGACATTATCCAATGCAGTGAGGTGTGTATATATTAATAGCTCACCTGCTCATCTTCCAGATCATAATGAGGGTCAAAATTGAAGATGTGAAAATGTTATTTATGATAAAATTCCCTTACCAATTGTACTTACTATGAGCTCACTTAAAAAGCCATCTTCCTCTACAGGGAGAACTCTGAAACAATGAGGAAGGAAATAGCAGAGGATGTTAACAGATGGAAATCCATACTGTGTTCGTGGATCGGCAGATTCAACATCATTAAAATGTCTATACTACCCAAACTGATCTACAGATTCAATGCAATACCTATTAAAATCCCATCAGCATTCTTCACAGATAGAGAAAAAATAATTTTACGCTTCGTATGGAACCAAAGAAAACCCCAAATATCAAAAGCAATTCTAGGTAACAAAAACAAAATGGGAGGTACTAATATGCCAGATATCAAACTATACTACAAAGCTGTAGTAATTAAATCAATATGGTATTGGCACAAAAATAGGAATATTGACCAGTGGACACAGATCTGATCCTGATATAAAACGTCCTCATATAGCCATCTAAACTTTGACAAAGCAGACAAAAACATATGCTGGGGAAAAGAATCCCTTTTCAATAAATGGTGCTGGGAAAACTGGATAGCCACTTGTAGAAGGCTGAAGCAGGACCCATACCTTTCACCTTCACAAAAATCAACTCACGCTGATAAAGACTTAAACAAGGTATGAAACTATTAGCAATTCTAGAGGAAAAAGTTGAAACACTCTCCTAGACATCAGCCTAGGCAAGAGTTTATGAAGAATCTCCAAAGCAATCACAGCAGCCAACAAAAATTAATAAATGGGACCTGATCAAACTACAAAGTTCTGCACAGCAAAAACAGTCAAAATAAAAACAGACAACTACAGAATGGAAAATTGTTGCATCCTACGCATCCGATAAGGCTGATAACTAGATATACTTAGGACTCACGAAAATCACCGAGAAAAAATCAAATAACCCTATCAAAAGTGGCAAAGGATTAACAGAAACTTTTCTAAGAAGACAGAAGAATGGCCAACAAACATATGAAAAATGCCTCATCATCTCTAATCATCAGGGAAATGCAAATCAACACATATGAGTATCACTTTAACTCCATGTGAGATGCTTTATCAAAAAGTCTCCAAGACAATAAATACTGGCATGAATGGAGAAGGAGGAACACTTCCTACACGCTGTGTGGACTGCAAACTATTCAACCTCTGGGAAGCAATATTGGAGATACTTAAAGCGAACAAGTGAATCTACCAATTTGATCCAGCAATCCCATTACTGGCATCCACCCAAAAGATCCAATGACACTCTACAAAAAAGATACTGCACTCAATTTTATAACAGCACATTCATAATGCAAGCTATGAAACAGCCCAAGCTGCCATCAACTCAAGAGTGGATTAATAAAATATGGGTATATGTATACCATAGAAGTACTATTCACCTCTAAGAAACACCGGTGATATAGCACATCTACTATTTCCTGGTTAGAGCTGGAACTCATCTACTAATGAAGACCAATGAATGGTAAAAACAAGCACCACATATACTCACCCAGCAAACTGGATTAACTAAGCAGTCACTAAGTGACACATAGGTAATACAGTAATAGGTATTGGGCAGGGTGAGGGGAGGGGACGGGTATATACATACAAATGAGTGAGATGGCATCATCTGCGGGATGGTCATGCTGGAAATCAAGACTTTTGGGGGAGGGGAAGAAAGGCAATTATTGACAAACCTTTAAAATTTGTACCCCATAAAGTGCCAAAATAAAAAAAATGCTAAAAAAAAATAAAGCCATCTTCCTTACCCAAGACAATTTTGGAATGAATCATCCAGATAATTATCCAACCTTTGACTTTATTTTCCACATGTAGGCACAGCTTCACAGTATACTGGATCTCATTAAATGTTAACTGAATGTTTCAGTGAAATAGCCATATGTGTCCACAATTGTTAATATTGTATACTAATAATCATACATATATTGCGAAAAATAAGTGAATAGAAAACCAGGAATTATTGTGGGGCTTACAAATAAGCTGATTCTTATGAATGCCACTAAGAGTTAACAGAAACAATCAAATGTTAATAAAACAAATACTTGGTTGTATATGTTAATATCTGTCCTTTAAAACAGCAATTTCCATTATGTCTTCAGATCATTCTAACCGGTGCCTGCATGATGAGCCCCATGTCCAGTTATAAGTTATTGTCAAGAAAAGAAGAGTTCAACTAAACCCTGTAAGGTTTTGGATCAGTCAACACCCACTTATTACAAAGCAAAAGATACCGATATATGATCCAGCAGTGCTCCGCTTAGCCTAGGACCAAAGCAGGAATGACAATGAAGTGAAATGAGTAAGACCATTACCTCCAGACTCTTGTAGACCTGGGTTTAAATCCAAGATCTGCTACTGAGGTGGAACATGTTAGTGAAAATTCTTCAAATTTTTAAAGCCTCAGCTACCACTTCTGTAAATGGGTACAAGAAGAATGTCTATTGATAGGGTTCTTGTGAGAATCAGGTAAGACAACTCACACAAAAACACTGATGCAGTAACAAGCTTGGAAGGTCATGATGAGTGGTGAGAACAAGCTCCCAGAGCCACTGACACAGAGAAGAAACATCTTCACTCCTAATTTCTGCTTTGCCATGACCAACATAGTTTTTACAAATCCTGTTATTAATTTTCAAGTGTAAAACATTTTGTGTGATCGGTCTCTGTACAGAGGTGACATTTTTAAAATATACAACACTTTTAAACGTCCTTCATAATTCCTGAATAAATGACTGTGGCTCTCAGACCCACCAGCATCCACTACTGTTCAGATAGCTTCATTGCACTAAGAAAACCTAATTGGGTGCAAATGAACAGAAGACTCTATATTAATTGGATAATTATGCAACTATTAAATGCTCCACTTCTTTTATCCTGGGTGTTCCAAGAGCAACACTATATTAGAATTAGAATATTGTTCATTTATAAACAAACCCACCCCTTCTTCTTTCAGGCAAAGGCATTTCCAAAGTTAGTGTTAAAATTTTGGCAATGGAGAGTATAGTGTCCTCATCGTTTGTGATCACAAGAGTTATGATTTTAAATCATTTGAAAACTAATTCCCCTATATGCCATGTGTTGTCCCAGGTTGAATCCTAGAACAGAAAAAGGACAGTAGTGGACAAATTAGTGAAATGTGAATTAAATCTGATGTATCATTAAGAGTAATATGTCAATGTTCATTTAGTAGTTTTGTCAAATGTAGCCATGATAATGTAAGTTGATATCAGTAAACAGTAGTGTAAAGTTGCTATGCTCTCTTAGTAACTTTTCTCTTAATCTAATATTATTCCACAAGAAAAGTTCACTAAAAAAAAATTGTTGATTTTGTGTTAGCAAAACTCAACCAATCCCAGCTTCATCATGTACTAGTCATGTGTCATTGAACAAATCACTATGCCTCAGCCGCATCTGCTCTAAAAGAGATAGTAGTAACACTTGTCCAAGCTGCTGACCCATGAATGTAAAATAAACAGTTATTATTAATGTATTTTTCAAAGTAGAAATCAAATATTGATGTCAGCATTAATTTTAAGCATCTATAAAATGGACAGAAATAGAGCAAGAAAATTGAATCTGTCTTACAAATATAACATGTGTTTTTAAAATCATGCTAATTTTTAATTATACCTATTCTAAAATTGCAATATAACTGCCTCATCCATGTAATCTTTTTAGAAAATATATTAGTAAATGTTATCAGAATTATGAACATGTTTATGTTGTTTATACTAGTAACCCCAGTTGTAAACATTTATTCTGAAGTTGAAATGAGATGGGATTCTTTTATAATGAAAAATGGTGCCATGCCATTTATAATAGTGAACATTGAGAAATATCTAAAATATTCAATATGAA